GAGGGGCGACCCGAGAGGAGAATGGAGAAGGGATTGTGGTGTGGCCATCCCCCCTGGGGGGTGATTTCTCGCTTTCTGTCTCTCTGTCTGGTGAACACATGCGCCCTATAGCGAAAAAAAAAGAAAAAAGGAAAAGAAAAGAAAACCTCTCCAAAAAAAGAAAAAAAATTTAAAACAAAACCCACAGTGGGTGCATTGTGTGCATGCCTCAAACCCCAAAAGGAGCATGGAAGAGAAGGGATTGGGCAGTGGCCATCCACTCGGGGGGGATTTTTCACTTTCTCTCTGTCTCTACCTGGTGAGGGAATGCACCCTATAGCAAAAACTAAAACCTGAGGGCGTTGACCCCCTGCAGACTGTCCTCTCTCACAGCTCCCTTTGGCCGGACCCTTGACCCCTTCCTGTCCCCACTGGGCACACCCTGAACCACATAGTTGGCAACCACGGGCAGGCACTTCCTTGGTGGGAGCGTTGAACTCCTCTTCATCTGTAGAAGCCCCAGCTCCAATGCCCGCCCCTCCAGGACACCACCCCTGTCTGGTGGACTTTCCTAACCTGTGGTCTCTGGTCCACTCAGACCCTGCCCACACAGCTCTGTGCCTCCCACCTCCCACTCTGAGACCCTCGAGGGCGACGCCAGGGCTCGAGCTCCCTGGGGCGGCACCACCAGGCTGCCCCGGCCAGAGTCGGGCTGGAGGAAATGCAGAGCAAAGGCCGGTCCATGTGCATCCCTACCCGGAGGCAGCCCTCGCCCTGCGGGACCTGTCCAGGCCCTCCTGGCCCTCCTGCGTCTACTCCGCATCACAGCCAGCTCCAGCCAGCGGCCCCCTGCTGCCCCCACAGGCCGCCCTGGGCCCTTACACCGTCTGCCCCCCTCAGCCTGCCGACCCTTGGTCCCTGAGCCGGTTTGTTTTTGTAAGAATTTTTTAAATTTTATTTTATTACTATTATTTTAATTTGACCAGAGAGAGAGAGAGAGAGAGAGGGAAAGTGAGAAAGTAAGCCATCCGGTCTGGGACTCAAACCGTGGTCGGCCATGTGGGAGTCCAGAGCCTTAACCATCACACCTCGGTCCCCAAACTTCTAAAGAGGGAGGGACAGAGGAGGAGGGACGGCAGTGTGACTGTCCCCCATGGGCTCTTCCCTCCCTTTCTCTCTTTCTGGTGAGGGCATGCGTGCCTGACAAATTTTTTAAAACCAGAAAAAGACGGCGTGGTGGTGAAGGTGTTGGACTCCCGCGCGGCGAATCGTGGTTCAAATCTCGGGCCTGCCGGCTTGCTGTCTCGCTTTCTCTCTCTCCGGTGAGGGCCAGTGTACTGGAACGAATTACAAGATGTAGACAAGAATGAGCGACCAGCCACGGTTACCCCGCCGGACTCCCACGTAGGCCACTACAGTTCATGTTGCAGACTCGGGGCTTAAACTCAGGCCAGGCACGTGTGCGTGCGTGCCCAAGATCCCAGAGGACTGCGGCGTGGCCATTCCCCACAGAACGGTAAGTAAAATTAATCCTTTTTGTTTTTCTTTTGGAGAGGTTTTTGCTATAGGGCGCGCGCTGGCCAGAAAGAGAGACAGAAAGTGAGAAATCGCCCCCCAGGGGGATGGCCACACCGCAATCCCTTCTCCTCCATTCTCCTCTCGGGATCTTGGGCACGCAC